CCCCCCCGGCCTGCTGCACCCCTCCAATTTGGTATCTCCTCCCAACACACGCTGCAGCCGGTATCCAGATCGTTAATAAAGGCACGAAACACCACAGGCTGCGTATCCGCTCCTGAGGGGCACCACTAACACTGGCCACCCGCAGGACTCTGTACCCTTGACTACCACCTTCTGAGCATGGTGTCCTTGCCCGTTTTCCACTCATCTTCTAGTCCACCTAGATGAACTACATCTCACCTATGCAGCTAGAAAGGTACTTTAGGAGACCGCTGAAAGCCTTGCTAAAGCAGAGGTGACTGACATCCTCTGCCCTCCTCTGTCCACAAGCCAGTCATCTCAAAGGGACTCAAGCTGGTTAGGCACAAATGGACTCTGGTCCATCTATGCTGACTGTTCCTGACCACCCTCCTGTCCTTTCAAACCCAGAAAGAGCTCTCAGGAGCATTTCCTCCATCATCTTCACAGAGACTGAGGTGAGGCCACCCTGGATCCTTCTTCTTCCTCTTCCTATGGATGAGTGTGAGACATTTACTTTTTCCAGTCTTCTGATCACTGACCTTAGACAACAGAGAAAGGCCCTACCCTCAGCACCCTTAAATCATCCCCTCTGGTCCCACAGACACCTGTACGTCCAACTGGCCTCAGCACCCCCTGACTCAGGTAATGCTTCTCTCCAGCAGGACCTGCCTCTAGGCTCAGGGGCTTCAGAGGCTGAGGATGAACCTCACCAGTAAAAGCTGAGGCAAAGGTGGCACTGAGTACCTCAGTCTTTTCAGTGCCCTTTGTCACGAGGTCCCTGCCCCATCAAGCAATGGACCTGTATTTTTCTTAACCTTCCTTTTGCTGCCAGTGTACACATAAGAAAACTTTCATTGTTGCCCTTCACACCTGACCAGCTCTAGCTGAGCTTTGGCTTTCCTAACTCAAATCCTGCCCACTTGGGCAGCTCCTCCTGGTAGATAACCAACATGCATCATGACCTACATAACAATTACCAGTTTCCAAATTAAGAGCACCCTATTTTTCCAAAAGGGGACACATTTAATGTTAATTACGTACAAAAAGCCCCAGTGAAACTCTCAAACCCCTATTTGGCAAGAAGGAAAATATAGCATTCAGACTGATGCTCAAATCTTACACCATAATGAAATCCTACAGTAAGGTAAGACAGTTTGGTAGTTGCATTGTGCTAAACATTAGAAAAATAAACCTCACCAAGCAAACCAAAAAACTTATAACATTCTCCTCAACTGCCCCTTAATCTGTTCTTTTGCTCATTTTCTGAAGGTACTGACCAACTCATGACTTGACACCCCAAAAGCTAAAAAATCTCATATAGTTACTACCTGTTGTAACAATACAAGTAAAATGAACCCTGAGGATTTATTTTCAGCCAAAATTTTTAACTGATGCTGATTTCAGTGGTTTTTGAAGTGGTTTCCACAATGACTACAGAGTTTGAGGCGGAAAAGAGCAAAATATACTCTTCTGTAGACTTGTCTTCATTTGGGACAATTTTTTTTTTTTTTTAATCACAGAATGTTAGGGGTTGGAAAGGACCTTGAAAGATCATCTAGTCCAACCCCCCTGCCTGAGCAGGACCACCCAGAGTAGATCACACGGGAATGCGTCCAGGCAGGTTTTGAATGTCTCCAGAGAAGGAGACTCCACAACCTCTCTGGGCAGCCTGTTCCAGTGCTCTGTCACCCTCACAGTGAAAAAGTTTTTCCTTATGTTAATGTGGAACCTCCTACTCTCCAGCTTGCACCAGTTGCCCCTTGTCCTGTCGTTGGCCATCATTGAGAAGAGCCCGGCTCCATCCTCCTGACATCACCCTTTATGTATTTATAAACACTAACAAGGTCACCCCTCAGTCTCCTCTTCTCCAAGCTGAAGAGACCCGGCTCCCTCAGCCTTTCATCAGAAGGAAGACGTTCCACCCCCTGATTCATCTTTGTGGCTCTGCGCTGGACTCTTTCAAGCAGCTCCCTGTTCTTCTTGAACTGAGGGGCCCAGAACTGGACACACTATTCCAGAAGCACTCTCACCAGGGCAGAGTAGAGGGGGGAGGAGAACCTCTCTCGACCTACTGACCACACCCCTTCTAATCCACCCCAGGATGCCATTGGCCTTCTTGGCCACGAGGGCACATTGCTGGCTCATGGTCACCCTGCTGTCCACCAGGACCCCCAGGTCCCTTTCCCCTACGCTACTCTCTAACAGCTCAGTCCCCAACCTCTACTGGTACACAGGGTTGTTCTTTCTCAAATGCAAGACTCTACACTTGCCCTTGTTGTATTTCATTAAATCAGGAGAAACCTTAAGATTCAGAGAGCATACAGGATATTCTCTACATTTAAAATACAAATCCCGGAGCACCTGGAGCAATGTCTTCTGACTCAATAAAAATGCTTATACTCTTCTTTTTCACTCAAAACCATCACATTTAGTTTAAGTGTTCAGATAGTGAAACAACCTAATTATTACAGAGAATTTTATAATGCAAAACAGCATTTTGCACCTCTGGCTGAATTCAGGACTGATGCAACTATATGCACACATATCAACTCTCAAAAAACCTACTTACTCAGTTCTGAATTTGACATCCACTTAATTTATGTCAAACACCAATATGTTTGAAGAGCAAGGCACCTGGGAGCCACTGACGTAGAGCAGAAGGGGAGGAAAAAGAGGCAGAAGACCATATTTCCAAAAGCTTACTACCTGCTGCTGTGATAATCCTTCAGGCATAGGAGTCATAATTGCTTCTGTATGCACACAGTCCACATCAATAAATAAATTTAGCTCTTCTTCTTCCAGACACGATGATCTATGATCTACAAAAAAATGAATAAACAAAATGTCAACTTTTACAACATGTAGACTGAAAGAAGAAAAAAAGGCAAAAATCCTATCATCCAAGTACAGCAATTACACAGCAGTCTTATTTTCACTTATCAAGCAAAAGAAATTTCCCAGCACTTCTGTGAATCACATAAATACCATCACCAATGGGTGCTCTAATACAGAGCATCTTTCAAAGGTATCTCAAAATTCTAAAATCCATACAGCAGGAGACAGCCTGCACATCTTTTGCTTGACCTCTACTCCCTCTTCACAGCAAGGAGAACAGGGCTGTCCAGAGTGCAGGACATGACAACTAGAGTTAAAATGCTGCATCTCCAGAGCTGGCAGTTTTGAAATAAAGACCTTTGGGAAGAAATTAAACACTCCGATAATATGATCCAGCTTAAAAAATTCCATACATCCTTGCATAACTGAACTAAAATAAGTAGCCAAATGTACCAAAACGTTGACTTTCATCAGAAATGAGAGTAAGGGATTCTGCATTGCTCCCTATGTACTAATTTTATGCAAAAAGCACCTCCAAAGTGGAGTGATAGGTGGCAGTATGCAGCCAGCCAAACAAGCAGACACAAGCAGAGACTGAGAAAGAACAGCAGGAGAAACGGTGTCTTAGAACAAAAAGGGAAGTAAGCGAAGCAGATCTGTTGGCTGGGAGGAATTAATGAGTTTATTTGACAAATTTGTCACTAGCTCCCTGCTGATCTGCTAAGTGGCTAAGCGATTAAACAGTCCACAGATAGCCTGTGTCTGCTACCTAACCTCTAGAAACGTAACAAGGAATGCCACGTCCACTGTAACACTGCCCTGCTGAAGCAGATCATTTTCTCAGGTGCAACAGCAAGAAGTTGAGGATGCATTTTTGATCACTACAGTTTGTGTGAATTAGGTAAGTTCAGAAGCAGTTAGAGGCCATGACAAGGATGTAAGATGTGTCCTGGTCCTTACAGATAGGATGTAGCTTTATGTTAGGTCGCTCACTAAAAAGCTCTTGTTCCAGTCTTGTGTTTTTAACTTCCTAAAACTGTAGTTTTATAAGCTCTGAAGTTACAAGCGTTCAATTAGTTGAGCAGAAACTTCAGCAGAAAGACACACTACCTCTCAGACTTATCCTGAAGAAGAAATAAGTATTCAGTTACTGCCCCCTGCCTCTTGCAAAAATTAACTGTGGACTGCTGCTGCTGAGGCTCATGACAGAGGGCTGATGTTTGTTCTTAACTACAGAAAGACAAATACTTTTAGCTTTTTTGATTTTAGATGACTGTCTTCCCAATCTAAACTCAGCTTTCATCAAAAATCACCAAACTGCGATAAAGCAGAATAGTCTCTTCCCCTACTTCCGCCCTTTAGCACAGAAAGCATTTGTGATCTCTTGGCCATGACAAACTTTTTAAATAGTCAACTATCGCTCCACTGAAAACCATGTCATAACAGCAGACCTTCCTGACATTCATGAGTTACTCAATGGAGGGAACTGGACAGACTTAGTACCTTAACATGATTTCCATACCCCCATATCCCAATACCTAGATTACCCAATCTACAGCTCTGGTGGGACTCCGTTTTAAGTGGACCCTTATCTGTGGTCCTCAGGTTTCTCTGGTCACTCAGGTTCTTGCCCCAAGCCTAAAACTACTCAAGATGCATTGACCATACTGCCATCTGAACTGAATACTATACCATACTTTATTGATATAAAGCCGATTTCATGCATCCAGTACTCAGCTCCCAGCACAAAAACCTGTTAAGCCACTCACTTCCTTTTTCAGAAATGGCTAGAGAGAGTAACACAGTATTATTGGCACACACCTTGAGAAATAAAAGATTTTGTTCTGATGAAAGAACGACCCTTTTTCACAGCTGCTTTTGTCCTTTCGAGACCATCTTTGGTACCTTCTCTAGCAGCTCTCATAAGCTTTTGCATCTGGAAGATAAATAATACAGTCTACATGCTCAGTGAATAGGATCATGCTTGAGCATACCATGCAGAATACTTTTAATCAAAACATCTTTAAAAAGAACACTGTCAAGTTTTTACATATATATGTATATAAAAATAAATATAGCCCAAAGTCAAATGAATATATAGTAAGTATGCAAATCCATCAAAGCTCAGACTGAGCACCTGTACTTTTTCTTAATAAAATCAAACCTGGAGAGAGGGAGTTACTTCATAGCAATACTGTACACAAGCCTAAAATAGCAGAAATGCTTAAGAACCCTTCTGCATCAAACATCTGAACTCAAATGCTCAGCTTTACATTATATAACAAATAAATACTATGGACAGGTCATCAACAGCCAGGTTTCTTGTCCTTCTTCCAATGTCCCACTAACTCTGCCAAAGGACTTCTGACCTGAAGATAATCCCCTAGACTATTAACTATATTTTTCAGTAAACACTGTTTTGCAGAAAATGTTAGAACTAATAACTTCATTAATTGAAGAAATAAGTTGACTTAATTAAGAATTGCATAATTTTACAGTACACTACTACAGCAAATAGAAATTTCATGCAAAAAAAAAAAATACATACTCAGTGCTGTTTTGCTAGGAAATGTTTATTAAAAATACTGCTTCGTGCTTTTGCTTTACCACAATGCCACCACGGCAAAAAAAAAAAACCACTACTGTCAGAGCTGTGCTGACATCATCAGCGACACCAGAACACAAATAAAGCTGTCTTGCAGCAATCAGGCAATTTCTTGGTTTGAGCCAAAGCTCTTAGCAAAACCCCAGCCTTTTCATACTGGCTCCATTCAGAATGGAGAGCAGGGAGATTCTGACTCCTGCAACTTAATCTCGCATGGCTGGAGAGCCAGGGTCAGGCCAGCCCGGCGGAGCTCACCCGGGTCTCAGAGGAGCACCGGGGCTGTATGCCTGGCTCATGCTCTGGGATAAGGGCACCAGTCAGCAGGGAAGGACAATGCTCTCTCTCATCTTCTGAAACTGTTACCATTAAAAATAAGCATGAGTAAAGGTCCTTGACAAAGCACTTTTAAGACAAGCTGCATAATAATAATCCTGTACATTTAGCATTCATTTCATACAAATTATTGTCTGTTTTTTCAAGTTACTATGAAAAGAAAAAGACAACATTGTCTGTGTGGAAAAACAATCATTTAAACATAGCTAGTTACAAAAATCAACTACACTACCTTCAGCTCATGTTTTTGCTTTAGTTGCTGAATCTCTACCGCTGCCACAGTGTTTGCCATCAAATCTTTCATCTTTTTTTCATAATGCTCCTTTAACCGCGTTAGGTCATGAGAAAGCTACAGTGTATAAAAAGACACAATCTTTTCAAAAAGCCTGCAGTGCAAACTTCATGCTAAAGTACTCGCGTATATCATGCATATTGCCGCATCTGCCTACTGATACACAGACAACTGAGGGGAAATTACCATTTAGGGAAGCTCCAACCTGACAAATGGGCCATCACTCCTGTGCATCACTGAACTTTCTGAAACTCAGCCAGGCACCTTTCTGCTATGCTGGCAACTATGTAAAGAGAGGGGCAAAGTCACTCAGGCTAAGCTAACCATATTCTAACTGTATTAACTATGTTGTGCACATCTCTTATAAACTGTGGGGAAACAACACACCAGCTTTAACCACGAACATCACTTGTTGGAGCACAAACCCTAGTGAGTATATCTCTGACTATCCTCCCAAACGGAGGATCAGAAGAATTCTCAAAGGCTGAAGAACCTGCAGAGGTTGCTGGCATTGAAGAAGGTGGAGATCAACAGTACCAGTGAGTCAGGTAAGGAGACACTAACGGGAGGATGCACAGTCTTGTAATTTCCATGTGCATCTATCGTAGCCTCATTGTATGACCATGAGTGTAACCATCTGGTACACGAATTAATCCATTTGCAAGGTATGGAAACTATTACAGATAAATGCTGCTAATCAGGATTTGTTAAACATTTTGAGAAAGCGAGATAAAAAAGGTTGAAATGTAACCAGAAAAAAAAGGAAATATTTAGTGCAGCCTATAATAGAAGTCCAAATGGAAAAACCCTCAGCTTGATGTCAATAGAGTTATTTGGCAAGAGACAAAAGCATCAGGAAAGAGAAGGCCTACTGAATTGGAAAAAAAGGGTCAGGTCCAGCATTTAGCTCCATGATACTGAGTCAGGATGCGACTACCTCCAACATGATGATTCTGGCATTACAGCAGTATAATTAAGAACAACATCTAGTTCACAGACTAGAAATATTTAATAGCGCAAAAACCTGCCCATCTTAAAATAAACAAAAAAATAATAAGCAAGAGTCATAATAAAAAAGTGACTTTGAGGGAAGTCATACCAACACTTCAAATTAAAAAACCCACCTCAAACCTTCCCATACTTTTCAACAGACACTAAAAATAATAAGCAAGGCAAGTCCCTCATAGGCTCTGAAAGGCTACAGAAGGAGATGTGCTGGGAAAATACTGTAACATCCATCAGATGACCTGAGGAGAAGTGAGAGTTAGTACAAGGAATGGATACAGAGAAAAGGTATAAAGTAGTTTCTGCCTGTGTTGAAACGCCGCTGCAGTGAGGTTTGGGGGTTTTGTTGGTTTGGTTGGCTGGGTTGTTTAAGTTGGGTTTTTTTAGAGCAGTCTAAAGTTTCTGTCTTTCCTCATTCTTCACCAAACCCCTCCTCTAGTTTCCTGACTTCGCTACCTCCCAGTAACCCACGCAGGTGCAGCAGTCTCTCTGACTTCTCCATCCACCAGCTAATGTGTTCCTTGGCTCCTCATCCCATCCTCACAAGACAATCCTCTAAACCTTTTGTCACAGGCCTGGAAATGCCAGCTGCAGGGCAGCAGCCCAGCACATGCCTCACTCCTCGGCCTCCTGCTCAGACACTCTGTGCCTGATCTTGGTACGATCACTCTCAACCCACTGCTAACAGTTTCCTGTGACAGACTAAAGTATACTTGTAAATGTTTAAAAAATGGCTTTAAACCTTGCTTTGTGCACATGTATAAATAGATTCCTATGACTATGGCCAAAGCTGAAGCTACACATAACAGGAAAAGATTTAAAATAAAAAGAACAAAGCAGCAACCATGTTAAGACTTACACACTCACGTGCAAAGTCATTTCCTAGTCTCTTCCAAAGGTATTAAAAATTAAAAAAAAAAACAAAACAAACCAGACTCAGTTTTCTTGAGTGTAGTTAAACTCAGAAAGAAAGAGCTGCAATAGCTTAAACTTGTTCTAGTCAGGACAAAACCAAAACAAAACCAGAGAATGAGCACTCAGCTTACAAAGTACTGGTTTGGGTGGGCTCAAGTCTTGCAGTTAATTCCTCACTCCCTGATTTCCAAAGGGTGGGCAGCAAGGACAGAGGTGGAGGGAGAGCAGATAATGTGTACTAGAGGGAAACAGACAGTGAGGTTCTTATTCTCATCAAGATAAGAAACCTGCACAATGAAAATAAGGGTCCCATGGAAGCTGCCCCTACATCCTCCAGACACGGGGCACTGGAGCAGCTAGCAGTAGGCAGCTGTGAAGCAGCTCTTGTGTGCCCATCTCTAGCCAGCACGCACTGGGGGGCCTGGAGGACTTGACAGTGACTCTGGGCCCTGAACGCAGCCCTGCCTGACCCCACCGTGCCCCCACACCTGTCCTCCAAGCGCTCAGAGCAGGGAATGAGCAGCGGGATGCTGCCCAGGTCCCAGGCAAGACTCCCCTCTCACAGAAAGGGCACAAGGGCAGAAGGAGAGGAGCCGAAGCAGTGAGAGCACGGGAGTCCGGGGGTCCTCCCGACATGCAATCAGACAGATGCAGCAAGGGCAGGCACCCATGCCATCGTTGTCGTCCTGCCTCCTGTGGCATGGATGTAGCCAAAGATACTAGACCAGAGATGTGTCACAGACAGATCATTTTAATCATGTCACCTCTCTTCTCTCCTTAATAAATGGTACAGGCTTCTCTTTGATCACAAACCCCTTTTATTTTCAGGGTTTTTTTTAAGCTCAGTCAACTTCAAAGAATGAAAGTGATACAGATCTGAGACAGAAAGGGGTAAGGAACACTGATGAACAGTTTTATGACTTTTGAGCACCTGAAGGATCCCAAAACTTCTTGTCATGTTTACCCCCGTTTGTTCTTCACATTATTTTCTATGCTAATTTACCACTTACACTAATCCAGCAGCTGTAAAAGAAGAAAAGGTGAGGAACTGCCCACAAGCAAAAATAACGTTATTTTAAATTTAGCTTTTATCAAATTTGACTTTTTCATTTTTTAAGGAGCTTCTGTTTGGTATTTTCATCTTTTCCCTGTTACATTTTGTTGTGGACTGTCACTCCCGCACTGATTCACGTCTCCTTTAAAAGATGCTGTTGGCAGTTGAAACTGGATTGAGAAGAAGGGAAATACAGGTGAGAAAGGCAAGCATTGGAAATCAGGATAACCTCAATGACTGAGCAGCACTGCGGTATACATACATGTCTCTTGTGGTTGCCTCGCAAAAAGGAGCTGGGAATTCCATTCTTACACTCAGAATCACTCTGTTCTTCATAGCTTTCAAACTCACTTGAACTCCACCCATATTCCAGTGAGCTGTTTCCACCATCATCACCATTTTCAACATCATCATAAATCATTTCTTCTGCAATAATTAAACCAACATTAAAAAAAAGCTACACTGAAATTTCTGTTTGTTTAAACACCAAAAAACTTGTTCAGAATGTATTATAAAGAACTATATAGACTTTTGTACGCACATTTTAAATGTGAATTAAATCCAGGATTCAAACAGCCAAAGTGAGTTGTATTTGTTGAAACAGAGTACTAAAAGAGGACAGTGTTATGGGTACATACCACGATCCTTTTAAAAACATGCCCTACCCAAACTACACTGTTATGTTCAAATCCCTCAACATGTTTTAGAAGAAATTCAAAGCAAGTTTGCACTGTAGCTGTGAACACACATCCGCACTGAGAAGAAGCATCCTTCCATGTGGAAGCTTGCCGTTTGTCCCTAGGAACATCATCATCAGTTCAAACGACAAATGCTAAAACATTGCAAGAATCAAACGAAAACGTCACTACTTCAAGCAGAACAGATCAGACCAAAGCACCAAGAAACATGTTACACTATGGTATTTTATGACTTTTCATTCTGTAACTCCACCCGTCTCCCATATCTCCAGGTTACCTTGCCCATAATCTAGTCTAAAAGCCTGAAACGCTAACCTTTTCAAGATATAGAAAGCTATACTGCGAAGGCTGACTAAATTATCCCCTGTTAAAGACACAGGTCTTTTTGTTAGCACAGATGTCAAGTACAACAAACTGACTCAAAACAAAAGAAAATTTTTAGTGCCAACTACTTGTCAGGAAACAGGCACGCACCCTACATGCAGCATTGTCATTACAAGTAGAGAAGTGTGGACACTTCTGCCAAGGATCCCTACTGTCAGGGGCTATAACACAGCATTTAAAACTGTCTCACATAAATTCAGTGAACAAAAGGGGTGCTTTCATTTTAAGACTGAAGTTTTATTTAAAGCAAGGAAAAATATGTACTCAAAAGAAAAGCTGACGTACTTTACTCATCCATCTAAACCCTGGATTCTGTGATTTAAAAACTACATTTTGATCAATAATAACATTTTAATATTAACATTAATTACATTTTTTATAATTAACAAAAAGGATTCTCCTCTAATTTGGAAGACTCAAATTTTAAGAAATTCTTTTTTTAGACCTCCATGCATATCAAGACTGTCCTTAAAACACACTTACTGAAGAAGACATTTTAGTGGTAATCTAGCACAATGAATCATTTAAGAGAATCACAGAATTGTTTAGGTTGCAAAAGACCTAAAAAGATCGAGTCCAACCCTTAACTGAGCACTGCCAAGTCCAACACCAAACCACGTCCCTACGCACCACATCTACACATCTTTGAAATACCTCCAGGGATGGTGACTAAACCACTTCCCTGGGCAGCCTGTTCCAGTGCTTGACAATCCTTCTAGTGAAGAAGTTTTTCCTAATACTCAATCTAAACCTCCCCTGGCACAAATTGAGACCATTTCCTCTCACCCTATCACTTGTTACCTGGGAGAAGAGATCAACACCCAACTTGCTACAACCTCCTCTCAGAATCATCATAGTAAGTCAAAGTAAGTCAAGACTTAAGACAAACTTGCAATGCCAGTATTGGGGCAGAATTTACCCAGTGATTCGGTGGATGTATCTTGTCCATGTGCTAATGCAGACTTGAGCTCTGACTGTGACTTTTTTGGAATAGTTGTGTCTCCCTGACAAAATATACAATTAATGAACATCAAGATCATGAATGTACAAAGATGAAATTTCCCTCAGTACGTATTTTCTCAGAATCTTTCAATGTCTTTGGGGACAAACAGAAAGCCAAAATTCTAATTAATGTCTTCTGGGTTAAGCTGAAAATTCTGACCAAGATGCTCAGGAAAACTTTGCTCCACATCCCATATCCCTCTCCAGCTCAGCCTCCTGGCCTTGGTACACGTATTTTGTGACTGAGCAGCGACAGCGTAAAGATGTCCCTTCCCGGAGCAGCACAGTCCACTGAGGCACCTTCCAGTAATAAAAGCATTCGACTCACGAATGTAACATAACACTTTCAAAGTTTAAATTAAACAAATTTCAGTAATAAATTGTAAAACACCTTGCCTGAATGCCACTAAGGACAAGAAATGAAAATGTTTAAAGATAAATGTAGTTTTCACACAAAAAAGCTTAAGAGTTTTCTTGAATCATTAACAACTTCAGTATCAAACACCCACACCCTCTGAGAGCCACGACAAGCAGACACTGAGTTCCTAGTAAGCCAATCCACTCAAACACAAAATCAGTTAGTAGCAACCAGTCTTTAAGCACGGTCTTCACTATAACCAAGAACTGCAAAACAAATCTAAGCGTGAACCCATTGAAATAAGCTCCCTGAGCCCTAGGTCCACCATTCCCAGTAAAGGTAAAATCTTGGCTCCAGCAACTACTTTAAGATCTATTCTGCCCCTTCCAAATGTGGTCACACCATTAGGAGCTGGACCACTCCATAACCGAAATAAAACACTTCTGTAGAGTCACAGTCAGGATGGTAAACAGCCGCTCTGAATCTCCTTTTCCATCTATTAGGTACTTTTATGTTGAAGGGGGACTTTCAAGAAAAGAGTAATTCTCTCTATAATGGTGACAATGATGCATTATCATACATTAGTTAACTATTTAAAACACCCTTTTCCTACCTACCTTGATGTGTTTAGGTCACTATAGCTACTGTAATTCTCTAATATACAGAATACTCAAGCACTTGGGACAACATCTACAGAATAAAGCTGAATTCAGCTTCTGAGAAGAGCAGTGTAGGATACCTACTGAGATAAAGTCTTTCAAGAGTTAGTTTAAGACCTACTGATTATTGACACAGTGTTAATTCCATTTACATAGATTTTAGGTACTCAGTGAACCTATCTATTCAGTATACACGCACATAATTACATATTGCATTGCCTTCAATGTGGGCTGTATTACAAAGACCTCAAACCTGGTTCAGAGTCTGAATTTTCTCTTGGCACATCATCGTAAATTACTTCATCTGGGTCTAAAAGCAAAACAGAAAAAAAAAGAATTGAGAAACCCCCTAAAATTTGAATGGGACCAACAAACAGTGTTTAAGAGGCATTTGGACAATGACCTTAATAACATGCTTTAGCTTTTGGTCAGCCCTGAAGTGCTCAGGCAGTTCAACTAGATGATCATTGTAAGTTCCTTCCAACGGAACTATTCTAAAGAATTTTGATTATATTAGCACATATGAATACAACGGAGGTATGACTCATTCTCCACTAGCATTTTGCTAGTACATCTAATCATCATTCAAATAATGCAATAATGCACAAAACCGGTATAACGTATTTGTGAAGTTTCATGCAGTTTCACCTGCACTGTTTATGATGACTTTTGGTAGCCTGAAAACAGAAATCCACTTCAACAGCCAGCATTTCTCTCTCCTTTCTACAGCACTATGGTATGGTTGTCAAGGACTGCTCATTGCATTACTAAATGGCTGCAGAGAAGCTGTAATAGACATTTTTTTAAAAGAACCAAAACTAAATAATGTAACGATCATTGTAGTACATTAAGAGGCAGAACGAGGATGCAAATCCTTCAGCCGCTTCAAGTGACACGTCAGATGAACATCTAGCCCAATGGGAACAGCTGAGAACAGGCAGGATAACCTGTCGTCAAACCCCATGGTCTCTTGTTCTGGTTTAAAAGCGATTCCACAGACTCCAAAAAGCACTCCATGGAAAACTGAACGTTAACGTCATTCTAAAAATATACGATTTTATTATACTGCTGAATGTTTTAACTAGTATAACTTGTTTCTGGAACATATCTGAAAAAATACAGTAAAAGTGACCACGAACGTTCCTGTAAAATACGTATGTGCATATAGATACACACACACTGTTGATCACAACTTAAAACTGACCTTCTTCTATGCTGTACTTCGGTACTCGCTGATACTTACTTTCCATCCATGCTGTATTTGCAGGATCCGCAACCCACTTGGCCAGAGCATCATCCTCTCTCTTGGCCTGGTTATCTTCACTTGAAAAAAAAAAAAAAAGGCCATAAAGTAAAAGCATTAAAAGCTACACCACGATGTGTTTAAACAACTGTGAAGACAAGACAATAAATATCTTGCTGCCTTCCAGTTCCCACACTGAGGCTGCTGATTACCTAAAAACACTGCTTCAGTATATAGATAGGAGATTAATAATCTATTCAACAGTCTGACGATTTTAGTCCAGAAGCTGAAAACACTTCCCTTCCAATCTCAAGAAACATTTTGCTTTTGAGTTCTTCTACCAGAATACAGAAAACTCTCTCTTAAAAAGAACTGAAGTGAGAGATGCTCTTTCACTGTAAATAAGACTAAAGATGTTCTGGGCCTCATCAGAAGCCTCTGGGCTTGACCAGGCTGTTATCCTCCTCTGGTTTGTGCTGGTGAGGCTGAACCTGCAGCAGCATGTCCAGTCCAGTTTTAGCTTCCCAACACTCCCCTTCTAGACAGTTGGTGAGAAATTGAAGCTACCTCTAGAGAAGCTACCTCAGAGAGATGTGGAGAAACTGAAGTTCGGGACTAAAGCACATGGCCTACAAGGAAAGAGGTGGAAGATACAGAGCTTATTCAGTCTGGTGAAAAGGATGGTATGGTGTGATCCAACAGCAGCTACAACTATCTGAAAAAGAACTACAGCAGCAGGCTACAGCAGATGGCTAGACTACAAGATCTCCAGCAGCCTGTTGCAGCTGACATTGCTATGACTCTATAAAACTTAAACCTAGGTTCTTCAAAAATGTCATGCACAGTTGCACATACAGACCTCAACCAGTGTTGATTTTGGTACACCAGATTTATGGAGTTAAGATAATGAAAATAAACAAACACGGAAGCATCACACAAGAAAAATAAAATATTTACCAAGTGTAAGCTTTCTTAGGAATTAAGGTTTTACAGAACATTAAAACATACTGAACTGGTAATCACCTATTTTGAGCCTCCTCTGAGTTTACAGAATTATAATGACATTCTTCAGTTGCTGACTGTGTACCTGCTAAGTAAAAAAAAAAAACAAACAACCAAATCACCCAAATGCTTGGAATAAAATGTCACTGTGGTTCAAATGGTATGTTTTAGCATAAGAAACTGATTCTACTAGTTCACTGCTCATAAATAATCTACTTCTATACAGTATTTTTGTTCTTAAACACATCTAAAAATTTAGAAGTTTCTTCACACTATCCATTTTTGCAAACGAAAGAACTCAGAGATACAGTAATCTGGTATAAGACTTATTAAGAGGAAATTACAATATCTGATGCATTTAATGCTAATCTCTCATATATATATTCCTCTACAAGTAACAGCAACCACATAAATATTTGCTTTTACTTGCCAATATTCTTAACCTTGATAGACAGCAAAGGCTGCAAAAAAAAAAAAAAAAGTATCACAGTACATAGAATTACAGTAGAATTGCTGTCTAGCTAAAGAACAGTATATTCAAAATACTGGAAAGAAATAAAAAGGCTGGATAGTGGGGAGTTTTCTGTTCCTCTTGCCCTCTTGACACTAATTAGGCTGTCAGCTTTACCAATTCAAAAACGGGAGGTTGTTCCTGTTTCTGTAATAATCCATAGTCATTTCCCTTTCAAGTCTTCTCTTCTGTCTTAAAATTGTACTAAAGGACAAACAGAATCCCTCAAATTGTCAAGGGAAAAATCCCACAGCAACTCTAAATCCACAAGCATTGGAAAATAAACAAACTAACAAACAAGCAGAAGTGCATATAGAAAAGGTAAAAGGGACAGGAACTCCGCCAGGACCTAGATAAAGCATGATAGGGTATGAGAAGAAACCATTTGGCTTGAACACTGAACTATGGCTCTGGAAATTATTTAATGACATTAAAAGGGAATTAGCATTAATCATTCTTAACGGCAAGATAAGACAGGAGTCCTCCCTTGTACTATATGTTGTAATATGGTGTCAGCAAAACAAGGACCAATTTAAAGAAGGGCTGGGAAAGAACTGATAGTGTACATCTGTTTTTTCTCATGTGTCTTCACCTAGGTATCTCAATCCTAACATGACAAACAGGGTCCCATAGGAACTTTTAAAAAAAAAAAAAAAACCCACATAAAAAAAACAAAACAAAAAACCTGACATTTTTCTTCCAAGTATAAACTAAAACTTCTTGTCATACTGCAGGATAGAGTTCTTTTTCTATTTTGACACAAAATCTCCCACGCACGTCCAAGCTGAGTGGTACATAAGCATTTACAAAACAGCACAGGTACCTGCAGTTAAACAAGGATTCACCTTCAAATACAGTGTGCAAATACAGTACCTTCTTCGTCTACAGAAACACTCCGTATTATGACAGGACTGGAGTATGCTGGCAGTATCAAAGGTAAATTAGATGGCACAGCATAGCCACAGGGGACAGGAACAGAATATCCACCGGCCAAGTTTGGACTTGCGCATTCCTCTTGAGGACTTGGTTCTGGTGATGAGGATGGATCCTTGTCTTGTACTGGTGAAATATTTATGACTGAGTAGGGATTTACTTTGGCTGGAGCGCCTCCTGCAGCAGCTTCTGATGTTCGTAGCTTCTCGCTGTTTTCTAAATTATCAGCCCCTTTAGTTGAAAAATTAAACAAACAAACAAAAGTTTTATTTTTCATACCCATTCAAGCTGCTTAATATCATTTTTTGCAAATATCCTAAACACTGGCATGATCTTTACCACACAAGTTGCTTAGAAGCTATGACTCATAAAATTCCTACACAGTAGCGCTATCCTCCCCGTTTTACAGATGAGGAATGCAATAGCAGCAAAACAAGCTGGGCTACAAGGATGCCTGTGGAAAAACAATAACTGAACTCTAAATCCTGAATAGGAAGATTTCTGACAAGTAGCCAGGGTCCTTTTTTGGCTTGTCGTAAGCACACAGCTCGAAACAGCCTTAAACCCTGAAGATTAAAAACTTGATTCTAGATGACTTTGGATCTTATAAACACAAATACAAGAAAAATCTTTTGAATAGCCATGAGGAGAGAAGTGCACTGGAGAGATACTCCTCAAAGAACAGTCCTGAAAATGCTCTTTAAGAAAAAGGGAAAGAAAGTAACTTTCCAAGTCTTCCTCTTTGAAAAATAAACTATTTTCTGTTACATAAAGTTTCTGGTATTTCTTGAGACAAGATGAGGTACAGCAGAACCAAAGGTCCCTTCTGAAGCGAACTACAGAACTGCATCACAAGCAATCAAAAGTTTTTGAGCTGTAAGTACAACTTCATGAAAGGGTGAGCGAGCAATGAATTTTCAGGGAAAGGTGGTGGTTAAGTTCCAGGTTGTCAAACTGCACAGTCATCTGAAGAATTATCTATCTTTAATTGCCATGAGCACAATGACTCTGCTTACAAAAGAAAACTGGATCAAAGTCAGCAGAATCAGCTGTTGTCAATTTGAGCAGAATACATCTATTTCCACACTACACCTCAGCAGTGGGAACATCTGCACATGTTGTAACAAATGTTTTAATGTTTAATAAAACAAGACAAGGAACAAAAGGAGAATTTATGACCTTTGGAAGGAGGGGCAGGTCTCTCATAAAGACTATAAAGAAGTAATGAGGCTATGCAGGGAGAAAATTAGGAGAGCCAAAAGCCCAATTAGAACGACCTGAGAGGAAACTGTAGAGAGGTAGGTGCTGGTCTCTTCTCACAGGTAATTAACGATAGAACAAGAGGGAACAGACTCAAGCTGCACCAGGGTAGGTTTAGGCCCTGACATTAGGAACAATTTTTTCACTGAAAGGGTTGTCAAACATTGGAACAGGCTGCCCAGGGAGGCGGTTGAGTCACCATCCCCTAATGTGTTAAAGGTCATTTAGATGTGGTGCTTGGCGATACGGTTTAGGGGTGTGCTTGGTAGAGTCGCGTTGGTGGTTGGACTTGATGATCTCAAAGGTCTTTTCCAACCTGAATGATTCTATGAGTCTAAGACTTCTGTTTATGAACAACATACATACATTCAAACTCCATTTATTTTTACGCATGTCATCTTAAGATCAGCAACCAGCAAGCTTAGCTGTGAAAGCAGCTTATCTCAAACCATACATGTGCCATTAGAGCTGCAAGGGCATAAACTTTTCCTGTTGCACGGCACTGTGACTGAGACCAGTCCATTGGTTTGGATGTCACATTTCGATGGGAAACCTCACAGGAAAACCATGTGATGGTCATTTGCCTTGTTAAATGTACCATGAGTGTAACTAGCAGGAATATTCAAAACACTTGGATATTTCCAGGGAAACCTCTTTTTACAAGTACTTTTACTGCACTGTCCAGAAAAGGCATCCTATAATCAGTCTTGACTATTTAGCCTAGTGGAGGCACACCCCGACAAGCTGACTCACCTGTGGCGTTACCTTCTTGGTGCTCTACATTATTTCCAGGGCCAGGAGGAGGTGGCACAAGGGCTTGCCTGTCTGCTTCTGGTATCTCATCTCCACTGTCAAAGTCAAACTGTTCTCCCTCATCCTCCTCTTCCTCGTTTGTACCCGTGGCTTTTGGTTCATACTCTAGAACTGCACAGACAGACACACTTTTGGTTGTTTGCTCTTAATAATAATTTCATGGGACCAGCAAGTATTCCATATTACGAATGATGCTTATACAATGAATCCTTAGATTTTTAGGTTACTGGAACAGAACAAAAGCTCCTTGACATGTTGATAACCACATGCAGTTTTCAATGAAATTACTTGGAAAGCAATTAAGAAGTGATAATGCAAATACCCTTGCTTTTATCATAATGAATCAAAACCAAAACATTTTTAAGAAAACACTTAAGTATCCGATTCTGTAAACAAGAAAAGTTCAGAGATTAATTTAATTGTACAGGGGCTTGGGGACTTTATAACTTCAAGCCATTTTTCCTTTCTAACTCAAAGATCTAAACCTATTCTTTCCTAACAGTGTCAAAATGCCAGTGATGGTAACTTCCTTCACACACATCATGAGAGACTAGCAGATTGGTTTTCCTACTCCAATCTGAGATAGTTCAAAACTAAGAACCTCATGGAATGTGCTATTAGTCCTATTACCACACACAACATGCACTTTGGTGGAGGTGGGGGGGTGACTTTTCAGTTCTTACCTTTGATGAAGTAGTGGCTGAAATAATTACACTCCAATATGAATGGGAAATGGGAGCAGGGGCAGAGAGGGTGTCTTTGCTTAGGAAGACTCTGCAGCACAGATTTGGCACTGTACACAGGGCTTGGAAGGGGAAGCAAGAAGAAGTGCCTGGCAGTTTCTCTCTGTGTTCTTACCTGCAGGAGCCTGGAGAACTCACGAAGATTTAAACCCCCTCACCACCTTACCTACTGCTTTTTTTGCGGCAGGTTCAGGTTGCAAGAAGCCCGCTCACAGCATCCAAAGCTTCTGTTAGAGACACTGCACAGAAAGAGGCATAGCCAGAGCAGCTGCAGAGAGGGATGTCCTAACCCTCCAGCCTCCTTGTTGCTTCCAGAAGCCTTCACTGCACCTCTCCAAAATAAAAGGGCTTCATCCCTCCTTCCTAGACCTGCCTTAGCTGCTCTCCCACTTTCTGGAGAAGAAACGCTTATCAGAGGTCTCCCTGCGGCAGAAATGTCATCTGTGGAAATTTTTTGGCCTGGCTGACCTTCCTCCCAAGCTCTTCCTCAAACCCATGTTTGATACCTGACCGTTACTTGAGTGTTCAAAAACGTATTTTAAATGTTATTAAAAACCTCCATAACTATAGCATTAAAATATATACTAAAATAGATAAATACATAAGTATACCAATGTGTTATAGAAATATACATGAAGTTCATACGGTTCCCCCCACCCCCTATTCAGGTAACACAATATGAAAAACAAAGTCTTGCAAGGACAATTTGATTTCCTGAGTCATGGTGATACTATCAGCTTTTCTATCATCCAGGACACATTCTGTATCTTTATGATAAACCCCACACAAACCACAACTCTAGACTGCTTAGATTGTCACGGTAATCAGCATTCCCACCAAGGCTTCTGTTTCTTCAGGCAGGCTGAGCCAGCATATTTTATCACCACCACAAATAACAAGATCTTTCATGCAGCCTCTCTGCAGGAGAAAAAGTGAACTAATTGCAAAAATAGTAAGGAACAAAAAAGGGCTTATCCTCCATTTATTGTCATGGTTTATTGTCATGGTTTATGGCTGAGGCAGCAGGACATTTAATTTATTTTTTATGCTTTTTAAAAACCCTTCTGCACAAAGCCAGCTTTGGATTAAGGCTTTTCATTTTTGCTTTTGTACGCTAGCAATTTTTTTTTTTTCTGTGAAAGATGCAAAAAATCGTGCAGAGCTCTTCCAAGTGATTCAAGACAATCACAGCATTCTTCCCAACTCAGCATCCATCTGACTAGACTGTACTACTTGATGCTTGACAGTAGTGGGGGAAAGAAAGAAAAGGGGGGTGGTGATGGTGTTGTTTTTCTGGGCTTTTTTTTTCAGTTTCTTTATGTTTTCAGTATGTCTGCACACTTCAAATTTGGAAAATACAAACCTATGAAACACTACGTAGAGTGTTTTTTGTGATTACCAGTGTGTGAAATGTTGGTTAGCCACACAGGCTAGGCAGGTAAGTAAGCAGATGGCAGTCACGAGCAGGTAACAGCCACAAAACCATAACTCTTCATGTGCTATCTGCCTAGATACTCCTCTCACTGTACTATATAAGTGAACCACAGCAGCAACCACTTCAAATACATCAAGTAGCTCTGTCTGCACTTTGTATGGTGGGAGGAGGGGGAAGATGAGGTTAGTGGAACAAGCTGATCATTTCTGCAGGATTAGGTCGTTCAGGAAACTGGGGTGTTGCTGGAGCAAGGCTCAGCCGAGAGCCATGAACCCAGCTGCTCACTGGAAGGGAATTCTAGACATTGACAGAAGAAAAAGCGTGTATAGAATCACCGAATGTATTGGGTTGGAAGGGACCTCTGAAGGCCATCTAGTCCAACCCCCCTACAATAAGCAGGGACATCTCTGACTAGGTCAGGTTGCTCAGAGCCCCATCAAGCCTGCCCTTGAATGTCTCGGGGATGGGCCTTCCACTGCCTCTCCAAGCAGCCTGCTCCAGTGATCCATCACCCTCATATTAAAGAGCTTTTTCCTAATGTACAATCCAACTCTACCCTTTTCTAGCTTAAAACCATTACCGCTCATCCTATCTCTGCAAACCCCTGTGAGCAGTTCTTCCCCTGCCTTCTTGCAGGGTCCTTTCAGGGACTGGAAGGTCACTATGAGGTTCCTGTTCCGGATGCTTACAAAACGTCCCCTTTCAGGGATTGGAAGGTCACTACGAGGTTCCTGTTCCGGATGCTTACAAAACGTCCAAGACATGCAGGGAAATGTCATGGGAGTAGCAGGCACCTCTGAGTTTCTGTGGCTCCTGGGTTAGGGAGCTTCTGCCCCAAATACATCCTTAGGGCATTTAAAGGTAACTGAGGAATCAGATGTCTGGTAACTCTCTACTGTAGCACTTTTACACAATTTCCCAGGCACTCAAGTCCAGCACAGTGCCATTTCTCAGAGATAGACAAGACCTGACATAGGCAAAAAAAAGGTGATTTGAGACGCTAAAAGCAAAAGGAATGACTCAGGACCCAGGAGCAAAATCTGGTCAACCAATGCACAATTCCCTTTCAATATGCCTCTGCATTCCCCCCGAAACAGCAACCAACCCATATTTTATGATTGTGGTAATAAATACTAACATAGGAATAGATTTTCTCAACTCGGGTAAAAAAACAGTTGAAGGTGCCTCCTAATTAATGCTGCCTGTTAATGCTGCAGTGTTCTATCTATGCAGAAACATTTACTTTGCACCATAAATAAACAAGGCACAGAACCCTGTAATTGGGCATTACAGCCTGGAAAGATCCCCTAAACTGCATCATTGATGGGGCAGTGGGTTAAGATTACAAAACAGACCGGAAGAAAAAAAAAAAAAAAGAGAAAAAAAAATTCCTTTCTCAGATTATGCGTCCTTTATAAAGGGCTAACTGGAGACAAATACCCTCACTTCAGAAAGTTTTAAAACTGTATTTCAGCTTCGCATCACTTCCGCATTTGCTTATTTCTGCAGGTATAAACTTTAACCCTTTAAATTTACTGATCCCTTCAGTCTCATATTTCCAAAAAAACATTCTCCTTTAAAAGTTTAATCTCAAGGGCGTACTATTTCATTTGATGGAAAAAGTATTTTAATAACAAAAATAAAGAGAGGGTGAGGGGCTTTTACTTCAACTGAAGAGCTTCTCAGCACTGCAGATACAGATTAGGTCATACAAAAAAAGTCACCTTGAGTAACTATAGTTTTGAAAATATGTACTTTTTCTACAGTTGTTTGTGTTACGTGTCAAAACAACACACACACAAAAATGCTTGTGAAGTGCTACAATTAGGAAGACACACAGCATAGTTACACCTGGGCTGAATCTGGCTACAAAAAACCACCACAGATCTTGCAAAATTTCATGCTCATGAAGAAAGTCCCAGTTCTTCCAACCCTTTAACTGTAAATCAAAAGGATCAAATCAAAAAGTGCATTTGCAGGCAAATGCGCTTGTAGAGAAAAACTGGGGGGGTGAGGGGGGGATTTCCAAAGGCACACCTCCATCCCCAGAAAATCACAGATGACAACTACTTTTTTTTTTTAAAATATAATTTTAAAATGCACTATTTTTGTTGCCAAAGTAATAATCTCAGACTGCTTAGCATTACACAGTCTGACTGGAATTATTTTGAATAATTAAATCAGTTAGTAAAAATCCAATTTTTCCTTTCATCACCACTCACATCCTTAACTTTATGTGCGCCAACCAGAGCAAAGAGAATACAATAATTGATTAAATTTTTTCATCTCATGCCAATACCATTCTGCAGCATTTGCTTTGCAAATGCTTCAAGGAAATTCTTGTGTTTCTAAAAACTTCTCTTTGGAGTTTTAAAGCATGAAAAAAAAAAAAATCTGATATAATTGGAAAATTGCCTTCAAGTTAAATTAAATGTGGAAGTGAAAATTTAGGACTAGAAAAAGGAATATATACTGTCATAATCGTTAGCACAACACATGGATTCATTACTTTTTTCTGTGGTGTGTTATTCAGTGAAGCGATTTTTTTCTTATGCTTACTTCAAAAACAAGCTAACTTAGGCTGTGTTTACAGAGACCTGCTGGGGCATAAGCAAATTTAAACAATTTTTGCTTGCTCTGCCAATTGCAAAGCATTCTTGGCAACATCTGCTTTCCCATTCATTTTCCTTAAATTATTTATAGTTCAATGTAATACAGCTACAGAGTTAAAACAGTGACATTAATTTTAAAGCCCTGATTAAGCTAGTCATAGCTTTCTTCAACAGTTTAGAGATACAGCAGTAAGACAACATAGCTCTGCACTTACAATCAAGTGCACTTTGAACATAGTGCAAACATGGGCGGGGGGTGGACGACACACGCAAAAAAAGCACCCCAAAACTCTGTCCTCACTGTAAATCAGAGACGATCCT